TTTTAAAGCATGCTTAGAAATATCCTGTAATGGCCATCACTGCTTAAATATAGCTTGATATAATATGAATGAGATTGTAAAGTAATTTCACATTAAACTTCATTAGAAAACACTAAAATACAGTAATAATAACAAGATGTGTTAGTTATGTTTGTGTGTCAATTTGGCTGGGCCTGGTTGAGTGCCTGGGAAGCTGGATGTAGTATTCCACATGATGAGACTTGTAATCAACTCCATAATGTAGTCTACTGTGAGCAGCTGACTAGCTGCCGTAGGGATGTGGTCTGCTCCTGTATATAAGAGGAAGCCTTGGGGAACGGTTGCTAGCTTATGGCATGCTTGAATCCCATATGTAGCTGTGTTGTTCCTCAGCAGCCTGCCATGTTCTGCTGACCTTGGGACTTTCAATGGACTTGAATTAATGGTCTGCCATGTGGTTTGGTAACACCGGGACTGTGCCATTTTAACTTGTCAACCTTGGGCTTGTCAGCCTCAGCAGTCAGCAGCTGAGTGAAGAAAACCCTCCAGCTTCAGAGGGCTGGGAGCAGGAGGCAGAGCTGAGGCCGAAGGTTGAGGGGCTTTACCCAGCCTCTAGTGCCTGGCACTTTGAACTTGGACTTAAAGCTTCCAAAATGTAAGAGAACAAATTCCTGTTTCTTCAAGCAATCCCATTTGTGCTGTTTCTGTTAGAGCGGTAGTAGGTAACCAAAACACAGGACAGTATTTTTTCACCCATAATTTGACTAAAGTTAAAGGATTCAGAAAATAGGTCTGCGGATGTATGAGGTATTCACATACATTTACTTGTGAGAATATGAATTAGAAAATTTTTTGAAAAAATTGGCAATACCTTCTTAAAGTCACACATTTTACACCCTATGTTTTTAATCCAATTTTCAATTTACATAAGCTTTCCTCTTTGAAATCTTTTACATTTGCCCAATAATTGAAACATACTAAAAAATTTGGTTTCAGGTCTATAAATAATATTATCAAATAAGAAACAACTTAGGTGTCAATTAGTAGGAGAATAAGTTAATTATGGAACATGCATGCTCTGAGAGTTGTTCAGAGTGAGATAGTAAGTGTGCTGGAGAAAGGCCGAATTCATTCATTAAGTGCTACAGGCAAGGGAAGAACAATATGTGTAACTTTATTCATGAAGTTAAAAATAGCATATGTTTTTATAGTACATTAACCTTGAAAACACTATACTGAGTGAAATGTCAGTCACAAAAGGACACAAGTTGTATGTTTCCACTGATATGAAACATCTAGAGTAGACAAGTGTATAGAGATCATAGTTTATTAGAGGTGACCAGGAGCAGGAGGTAGGAGGGAAAGGGTTTTCCACTGTTTAGGGGACACTGAGTTCTATGAAGGGTGAGGGAAAAATTTAGAAATGAGTAATTGTGATGGGGGAACAACATGATGGATGTAAATAATGTCACTGAACTGAACATGTAACAAATGTTGAAAAGGAAAATATGTGTTTTATGTTAAAATATATTAACATATATATTTACAACACACACAGAAACACACAACTTAGAATCCTCCCTTAATAAAACATGTCAGAGTCTTAGGAGGGGAATCCATTCTGGAAGACCATCTGTAAGGGGAGAATTGTAATTTATATATATGGTTCAATTTTTTTTGCTAACAGTGATATACACTAGTAGCTTGTTGTTGTTATTAGTTGCTATGGAGCCTGAAGCACCTCAAGGGAACCTTATGGATAACAGTACAAAACACTGTCCCATCCTTTATTAAGACATTTCTATAAGCCTGGGAGCTCTGGTGGCATAGTGCCTAAGGCACTTCACTGCTAATCAGAAGGCTGGTGGTTCAAACCCACTAGCCACTCCTCCGTAGGAAGGTTGGGCAATCTACTTCCATAGTGATAGCACCTGTGAAACTGAAGGAGGGGTCGCTATGAGTCAGATCCGACTCCACAGCAGTGAGTTTGGTTTTATATCAGCCTAACAGAAGAGAGAGAAATTGTTCATTATTCAGAGAAAGTAATTCCTACCTGATGCAACACAAAGAACCTGAAATCTGAAGAGTGTAACACAATATTCTTTTTTATTCTTCATCACCTAAAATCTGCTGTGGGGTAGCAGGGGTTGTCTGCCACGAGGTGACCCAAGGATTCAGGCCGCTTCCATCAGTTGCTTCTGTCAGCACGAGATGGGGCTCCATGCTTGCTGCTGAGCAGAAGAGAAAGCATACTGGTAACACACTGGTTCGCAAATGCCTCTAATGTTCTGCTCATATTTCAGTAGAAAGGGCTAGTCCCATGACACAGGATGTGAGTGATACCCACACACATCTCCAAAGTGCATTTAATTATCATTTCAACCAACTTTTATAAGTATTTTACTTAGAACATAGGGTCTTTCTTTGTATTACTTATACGACATTACAGAGTATTGAAAAGGAAAATAAATAAATAAAGAGGAAGACAGTTGGCCTCAGGCTGGGAGAAGTGAAAGTGAGTGTATACCAGAGAATTCAGACCAGGAGTCTGGTCTCAGCTCTTAAAACAATTCTCTTGGATTCTAGACTTTTCTGGAGCCACAGAGGCTGCATGAACCTCTGACACTATTGCCCTGAGATCATCTTTAACCTTCAACCAAATTATCCCTTGAAGTCTCCTTAAAGGCAAACAACAATTTAGCCTAAATAGTGAAAAAATATCTGCTTTGAACATGAAGTTCTTTTAAGAACTACTGAAAACACTGGTGCTTTGGTTTGACGGGAGGCAAGGAGTTTGTTCTTGACAGAAATTTGAGGAAATTTAAAATCAAAGTGACAACAGCAACTCAACGATTAGATAGGAAACTTAGGGGTGGTGAGTTTATGTTAATGAGGGGGAACCAGTCAGAAAAGGAGAGTGAGAATGGCCGCTCAACTTGAAGAACATAATCAATGTCACCACAAAGTAGATGTGGAAACAGTCAAATCCATACATGTTTGGTTTGCTGTGCATGTTCTCAACAACAACAAATCTAACCTGTTAACTCACATTCCCAAGCTCGCTGAGTCCCAGTTCATGGGTCTGATGACTGTTACAA